CCGCTCCGTTCAAAAAGTGGAAAAATAAAAATTGGCACCCAGAAATTCCAGCCCCACCCACCTCCAAAAAAAAAAAAAGGGAAAGAAAAAAAAACCTGCAAGTGCAATAACTTACTTGGGAAAAAAAAAAAAAGTTAAAAAGAACCAAGCTGCAAGACTGTTTGTTCTTTTTTAATATTCCACTGTAATGAACTGGTAATACATGGCTGCATAGGCAATAACATTGCATGGCACAAACCTCACATGGCAACATTTTAAATGATTTTTTTTTTATTCTTTTTTTTTCCTGAACTTTTTAAAAACTTTTTTATTTTTTTTTAGTATGTTCTACCCCAGGCTGTTAAGCTAAAGAAAAAAAAAAAAAAAAGGCAGCGTTTATACAAGGTTACAATATTTTACAACAAAAAAACCAATAATATTGATTGAGGTTTGTTTTCTTTCTTTCTCCCAGTCTCTCTTTCAAACACTGCACACCTAAACTGATATATTATTATACATTGAAAACTGTCCTTCAAAATCAGTAGTATAAAAGTCCTAGCTCTACCTACCTACCTAGCTATGTGGGGGCAGTGGGGAACCGTGTTACCAGCAAAGAGTAAAGGGGGTGCAAGGCCGCTCCGTCACCTCCTCCCAGCTCCCTTTGGGAAGCTGCAAAGGGCTGAATGACTTTCCATCTGAATCCGTGCCCCTTCCCATTTGGGTTTAATTTCTCCTTCGATCTGTTTGCTTTTTGCTGTGTCAGTCAGAGCAGCAAAATAAACACGGGGCTCTGCCTCTGCTTGATTATTTTTCAAACCTTTTCCAGGAAACTACCTTTTCGCCTTTGTTTGTTTGCAGAGTGTTTTACAACGTGCTGCCCGCTCTGGGTGTACTTTGGGAAACAGGGAAACACGCCTCCCATCCCCGAAACACCTCCGCCACTGGAGAAATCCAGCCGGCAGCCCTGCTTGGGCAGCACACCTGGCCTGGGTTGGCGCTGTGTCTCCACGGCTGATGGGGCAGGTAAAGCCTAAAGCCATGTGTACTGCCACTCTGCGACCTTGCATGTGATGCGCTGTCACTACGCGTGGCCTTCCCCTAATGCCCTGCCCGCACTCATGGCTCAGGCCAGGCGTGCGCCGGCAGGGATGCTGGCTCCGGCAGGGATGCACGTTTCATCAGGGATGCGCACTCACATGCTGCTGTGGGCTCTAGAGGAGGAGGAGGCTGGTTCTCCTCCACCTTGCTGCCTCAGGCCGCTTTCCCGTGGGCTCTACCCAGGCAGGTGCTGGGGCAGCGAGACCCGAACTGAGTAGCATGTTCAGGAGGAGGCAGCAGGAGCCTGGCCACTGGCTGGAGAACCTGCTGGGAGCGCAGGCGGGCGGCAGTGCTGGTGGTGGGAGATGCGCCGGGGGGGCAGCACAGCAGCCCTTGGAGTTTGGACCCCACAGGGCCCAGCAAGCCCCAAGCCTGTTTCACCACTGGTTTGCAGTTGCTACCAAAGCACTAACTACTGCTCGTAGACGAGAAGTGCCTCCGAGTACTTGGCAGTGAGTGGTACCCGACTGCCTTTAAGCTGGTGCTGGGAACCCGTGCTGCTCTTGCTATTTACATCCTCCTAATCTCAAAGCTCTGTGCCATCTCTGGTGTTTCTAACCATGGGCAACATAAGACAGCCCCCTTGTAGGGTACCCGCTGCACAGCCAGGGCCAGGACTGCTTGGGAGAAATGTTTTGGTACCTCTGTGAGGCCGGAGAAGGCAGCTGGGAGAGCCCAGCTAGCCAGGTGCTGCAGGTGTTGCACCCACAGAGGATGCCGCCGCGAACGTGGCAGGAGTTGGGGCGCTTGGGACTTGTGAGACATTTTGGTGGTGGCTGGGGACAAAGCTTGCAGCTTCGAAGGCAAGCCCAAGCCAGGATATCGCAACTCAATGTATGGACAGGAGTAAAATTCTAAATAAGAAATAAATAGAGAAGAAAGTCATAAATAGAATTGAAAGGTATTAATAATAATAATAATAATAATAATTAAAAAAAGCATCATCGTGGTAACTTGAAACTGCAGGAACAGCACTGACCCTGTGACCCTTAAGAAATGCAGTAGCCGCAGGTTGGCTAGATTAAGATACATATATATATATAAGTGTATATATATATATTTATACAGTTTTTCTTGTTAATTTAACAGCTAGTTTAAAAAAAAAAAACAACTTTTAAATTAATTTAAAAAAACGTGTGTAAATACAGATGCACGTAGCTTAAAAACTGCTGGAATAGCTGCATTCGGAGGCTTCGGGGGGGACAAGAAGGAAGCCCTGCGGCGGGGGGCTCCCGGGAACAACATTCCCCCTCGCCTTGTGATGCTTTCGGGCAGGCTCAGGGCCGGGCACGTGTGGTGGCGTTTAAAATAGATTGAGTGAGTCCAACATGTGCTTTGCACATGGATTTTAAGGTGAGAGAAAGTGGGGGGCCAAGCCTCTGTAAATGCCAAGTCTGCTGCCAGGAGACTCTTCTCTCTCTCTAACAAGACGAGGGATACAGTGCTTAATCTGCTGTGCTGTTAAACAGCTCGGGTGAAATCCTGGCCCCGTGGAAGTCCATGAGGAAGAGCTACCCTTTAACTTCAGTAGGGGATTCCGCTAACCTCTTGAGTGGCTATGGCCCTCCATCAGAGCCGCCTTCCCTACCTGCAGGCCATGTGGGACCCGTTCCTGTGTGCCCGCCCCATCGCCCGCTCCTCGGCTCTGCCTGTTGCTCATTTGCCTTGTCAGTAATGCTGCGGGGCTCGTCGGGCAGTGGCCCTTTGCAGGATTGCCTGCTGACCGTGGGAAGCATCACGCTCCCTGGTGTACCTTGGAACATGCTCTCGGCACTGAGCTCAGCTGCCTGCACAAAGTCTGCTGGAGGCATCGCCTCCTGCCACCGGTTCCTAGGTGGCTCAGGACCCTCAGAGGCTTCTGGGGTGCCCGGTGGGGGTGACGTACACCTCCGACCAGTCAGCGTGATCCTGTCTGGTTCAGTCATCAGCATCACTTTTAGGACCTTAGCCATCATGCCCAATTGCTCTGCTGGATGTTTAGGCTGGGACTTAAGTCCTGGCTGCTTGTGTTGGGAGAGGCCCTGGTCGTACACATGGTGTGGTTAATGGCATGCTGGTTCCCTGTGAGCGCCAAGGAAGGCATCTCAGCATTTCTGAAGAGAGGAAAGAGACATTGCTACTGGTCTTTTCTTATTCCAATAAATATATATTACATTGGATCTAGCAATGGTGTGTCATTTTGTAGTGTATGGCAATCTAAGCGCTATAGAAATACTTGTATACCTTGTTAACCTGAAACCTGACATTTGGTTGTAGCTTATTTGGAGACTTTTCTTAGACCACTAAATATTCCTGGACCTTGAACTACAAGGTCCCCTAAAACTGGGCAGGAGGAGGGGGGGCAGGGTGACACACAAATGTTCATGGGAGTAAAATCCCGTAATTCCTTTGTGAATCTTGGCTGCCCCAGCTCAACCTGAGCCTGCATAGCCACACTGTACGGGTGATAGTGCTCAGCTGACCTTCAGCTTCTCCTTGGTGATAATTCAGTGGGGTAAAAGGATGTTCCAAAATTATTCTTAGCACTACGAGATCATTGAAAAGCTTGTGAAAGATTTAGCCTTGCAAAGGAGATCTTACTTAACAGTTAGTGCTGTGCAGGTAAGAGCACTAGGAGGGAAAAGCAGGGAGGCACATTGGCTCAGACATACCAGGCAAGTTCTGGTGTCTCCTGCTTACTCTGCCAGCTGAAGGGGATCCGAGGTGGCTGGACATGGGTCAGTGTCACCTCATCCAGCCTTGGGTCCCATCCCAGCCTGCTCCCTGTGCCATCCCCTCCACAGAAATGCCCACAGCGGCTGTGTGTGGCAGAGCCCTGGGGTGAAGGGTTGCAGGGAGGGGCTGTCATTGCACATATCTGACCTCAGGACAAGGTGTGGAACTTGATGGCCTCACGCAACCATGGCTGTGTGCTAGCACTTGAGCTGCTTCTCTGAGCAGTCTCATTGGGGACCCATGGATTTACACAGCAACTGTACTCCCCTCCCATAGCTGCTGTCTCTAAAGTGAGGATAGTAATTCCCGACCCAGTGAAAACCAGAGGAAACATTTTGCTGCCCCACCATGCACATGAGCCTCAACATTGACCATGACTGCAGCAAAGCAAAACCCAGGCGCTCCCTGGGGCAGCCAGCCGTGCTGGGAAGCTATCGTCTGCCAGGGTGCACCTCCAGCCAGGTGACCAGAGACCTGGCAAAGACTCCCAGCGTGGTGGCACCGTGCCATGTTGGGAAGAAAGGCATCCCCTTCACAGGCCCCTATGGCTCCGTGCTTCACCTCAGACTGCAGGATGGAGAGGAAGCAGGGTAGAAGGAGACGGGATAATGTTGCCTTCTTTCTAGCCTCAGGTATCTTCCCAGCCCTGTTCCCCATTCAGCTGCGGGAAGTTGTGGCTCCTGCTAAGAGGACGGGAGCAGCCTGAGAGGTGTCTCTTTGCTGGTGCCAGAGTCCCCATCCAGTCCCCTGCCCAGGGCAGAACAGATCTGAGCAACACTGTCGACAAATTGGAAGGGGAAGTTGTGTGTGTGTGTATGGGGCTGGGGGAAGCCGCTGAAATGCCAGCAGGCTCTTGCTCTTTGGAAAGGCAGAGCTGGTGTCAGAAAAAGGAGTGGGGAGAAAAAATGCCCAGGTTATTGGGGAGGTGGTGGTGAGAGGGGACGCATCCCAACCCAGGTCTCACTGGAAGAGGTGCTGCTCCACAGCCTCCCTCTCCCTGCTTGATCCCAGGAAGCCGGGAGCTGCCGCGTTCATGCTGGAAACACTCCACTTACGTTAACATATGTACTTTATATGCCTAGGGTAGCTAAAAGTGCTGCATTCAGATCCCCGAGGAGGCAACTGCTGTCTGGAGTCCAAGCGGATGGATTTATTTGGCTGTCCCCGTGTGCTCTCTCCGTTCTCGTGGGCACTGGGCTGCAGCCCTGTCATGTCGCCCAGGAGATAGCGGCACTGTGCTCCTTTGCTTTCATCCTCAGGGCAGCGATGCTGGAGGTCTTGCGGTCCGGCTCGCTGTTCAGCTCGTAGCCATTGAGGCTGGGGCTCATCCCGGCCGTGCCGAAGAGACCGCCCATGTGAGTCTGTCCCACGTGGCTGCCGGGGCCGGAGACACCGAGGAACTCGGAGGCGCCGCC